TGTACTACCCCTTGTACCCCTTCTGCTAAGCAGTGGTTCCCACTCCTGCCACTTTGTGCCTAGGTGCTCTGATCCAAAGGTAGGGATCTGAACTGTTTGGGAGCTGTGGCATGGGTCAGGTTCAGCATAAACAATATTAGGAGATCTCTAGGAGCAGTCCTTTAGAAAGGGTGGCCTTGGTGCTTTCTTATTCCATCCCCACTGCACTCCTGGAAAGGCACTAAGGAGCTTGTCTCCTGCATGTGAACTCCTGTCTTAGCCTTTGGGCTCATTCATTAACTGACATTAGGGATGTACACTGCTCTTTGCCTCTTTCCATAGCCTTGAATCAGAATACTGATCCAACCCACCCACACCATCCCAGGTAATATCTCAGGAGAAGTTTTGAGCTCTGAAGGGCTTTAGTCATAAAAGGCAAGGATAACAGCAGCAGATGTTTGTGTGTTTGCTTGTTTGTGGTTTCCTTGCTGCCTCGCGTATGCAGCCCCTGGTCTGTAATAACTGCTGTAGCGGGTGTTTTTGTGGAAACAAATCACCTGCTTTCATCTGAAGAGCAACAGTGATTGTGCTGGGGGAGCATGATCTATTTTTCATGTCTCAGTATTTCTTATTATTTAAATTAATGTGAGTTGCAGTTGTCATGAAGTGAAGGATTGACAGCAATTAACTAGAACAGCCTCGGTGCAAGCTGTTTCTGCAAGAGCCTGTTCTACCTAGCTCTGTCACTGTATCTTTTTTGGGACTTAAAATCTCCCACACCAGCTCTGACCTTGTACCCCTCCTGCCCTGCAGCCCTCCCAGTCCAGGGCACCCCACAGTATCTCTGCCCTTGTCCCACTCCTGCCTTGCAGCTCTCCTTCTCTTCCAATATGAGCTTCTCTCATGGAGAATGGCCACTGGTTACTTTGGGATTTGTTATTTGCTGTCAGTGATGTGGAAGATGAGATGCTGGGCTGGCATCAGCCTTGTCCAGTAGATGTGAAATGCAGGAGAAACAAATATGTGAGTTTTAAGCCATTCTTCTCAGGGCTCATTCCCATCTCTCCAGATGTGGGTGGGGCATCCTCCCTCTTTGGGGATGGAGGAGTGGGTACTACAGTGTATTTCCTTTCATGTCTGGCTCTGCTCCCCACCCCAACCAGGGGCATCCTAAGCACACTGTAATGGATACTCCAAGTGTTTTACACTGAAAGAGCAGAAAAAAGTATGGCAATCTTATATTTTGCAGCAGTACCTAAGACCCTGGCAGTGTTTTCCCATGGTACTTGGAGCCAGAGGGGTCCAGCAGCAGCAGCCTGGTCTCCCCTGAAGTAAAAAGCTGTTAGTCAAATTATGAAAATGCCTGTAAGGTCTGTTGAGTTGTAGTATTTGCCCTTCTGTGAGGCTGCAGCCTGTGGGTTTGCCTCTGCTAATAGTTCGGAGAGGCCACTCACAAAAGAATTTTCCACTTGAGGGTTAACAGGAGATGCCTGGGTAAATGGAGGCTGTGACACCCAGTAGATTCTGGTCCCTGGAGGTTTTATTCTCAGCAATCCTTCTTCCAGCAGTCTTGGACCTGTGAAAACATAATACAACCCACACATGGGGAAAAATAATAAGGTCAAAGCTTCTCATTTTAAGGTTGTCCTAAAAAGGTGTGTACAAAGTAATGACAAGTGCCAAGGAGGCAATGCTAACTGTTGCTGGTGCTGACAGTTTTGGCATTTAAACATGCTGGCTTGACGTCCTGAAAATTAAAAGTCTCTGACTTTTTATCTGAGTGAAATTGTTGTCCACTGGCTTTGGATTCTAAACAGATGAAGCCAAGCCAGGTTTTAAATTTAGAGGGAAATTATTTCCTGCCCTATTCCCCCTTGCCTTAGCCTTTTCTTGCCTTCTGACCAAGGTGACAGCTGAAAGGAACCAGCCATTATATTCCTAACAGGATTTCAGACTTGGATGTCCTTTTCACCCCCATCTGAAAAAGTGGCAAGACAGATATGACCATCTGGACACATTTTCTTCTTCTTGGGCATTTGATAGGCATGGTCAAAACTGCTTGTACTGGTTGAGTTTACTTGATCCTCTGTGAAGTAAAATGTCTTGACAGCTTTGGAGTTTATACATGTCCCAGCTGGAGCTCTACTGCTGCCCTGCAGTGGCTTTTGCTGCTCTCTCCTCAGCCATTTTGGCTGGCATTGCACCATTATACTAGGACTTCACACTGGCCCACAGCTTCACCTGCTAGTCCTGCTTCAGTTTAGTCATTCTTGGTTTGCTGCATGGCTTTTTTTTCATTATGCAAATGTTAACCCCTTGAGGTTATGGTAATATTTCCAAAATGTGGTGTAGCCTCTGGATTTACTCCTGGGATCTGCTTACCCAGGTTTGCCAATGCACCATGGAGAATTTGTGCTGAGGATGCTCCAAAGTCACTGTCCTTGTGGCCCAGGTGTTCTGTCCAGGTGACATTTGGGCCACACCTGGGCAACACCTGGGCCACAACTTTTGCAGAAATAGCAGCTCTGATGTTCTTTTCCAGGCTAAGCCCATCCCTCCTCTCCTGTGCATGTTGGTCTTCTATCAGGTCTGAGGTGGGCCTCCAAATTGCTTTGTTCCCAGTAAGTAAGAGTATCAATTTGGATTTTGGCACCAGAACTTTCAGGGCTCTGCCAGCCTGCAGATCTGCTGGCTGGAACAATGTGCAGGTCTGTCCTGAGCCATGGGACAGGGTATTCCCCTCATCCACTGGGAAAGAAAGGAGGAGAGTTTTCTGTATCTCCAGAGGTGAGTTTCTATCCCCTCCCTGAGAAGCCCTTTCCTGTCTTGACTTTTTGAAAGTAAAAGCTTTTTCCTTATTTTGAGGTAGACTCTTCCTTACATTGCAGCTCATGTTAGCTGCTTTTTAGTGTTCACTGTGCACCTCTGAGAAAAGTCTCTTTTCTCCAAGTTCCCACTCACTTTTTGTAGAGAGCAATAAGATCTCCCTCAGCCTTCTCTTCAGACTGAACAAACCCATCTCTCTTAGACCCTTCTCCTGGGAAGCCATGTGCTATAGCCCTCTGACCATCTTGGGAGCCTTCCAGTGGATTTGCTCCAGCATGTCAATGGCCTTCTTGTACTGGGGAGCCCAACACTGATCTAGTGCTTGAGATGCTGTCTAACAAGCACCATCTAAAGGGTTTTAGACTCTTCTCTCCACTTGGGGGATTACACTCTTGCTAATACAACCCAGGATGCTTCTTCTTTGCTGCAAGGGCATACTGCTAACTCATGCTGAACCTGAAGGACCCCCATGTGTCCTGGACTGCTTGAGCCTAGCACTTTCTCCCTTCCAGAAAATATCAAGGTGGTTGGTCCCTAAAGAGGGAGTCTTACTGTGAGGCTTATTCTACCTGTCTAAAGCAGTATCTCTTCTTAACCAAGGCACTCTGTATCCTCTGATGCTTACACCTGAGCTAGTTCAGCATCCAAATCTGCGTACATGCCAGGCAGTGCTTTGCATTTCCTTTCCTCTCCTTTCCACCTGTCTTCCTTAGAAAGCCTGTATTGAGTGACAGGCCAGTCCTAAGAGCTGTCTTACCCCAGCTCCATCATCCCAACAGTTTTTCACACACATCCCACTTGAATCTGTGTGAACATCTGATTCTTCCTGTTTTTCCACCATGCTACTTGCACTGCTGCACAGGCATTTGAGGTGGGCCCCCAGCTGTCCTGCTTTCACAAGGTGTGCAAAAGCCTTCCCCATTGTGTTGCCCCCCAGCTGCTCCCTCACTGCCCTCTGCATTGGCACTTGTCCACAGATCACAGCAATCCTTCCCCAGTGAGCCTGGCTTAAATCCCTCCTTGCCTGGAGGAGTGAACCTGTTGGAAAATAGATGTCTGTTTCACTTGCTCAATAGGTTCTCTTCCTTCAAGGGGGTCCCATGGTCATAGATACTCAAATGTTGTCCCTGAGTTTGGGGCCTACAGAGAGGGGCTAATGAGCTGTGGGTTGTAAACAACATTCCTGTGAACCGAGCAGCACAGCTGGAAGTAGTGAGTTGCTCTCTTCAGGCTTCATTTCCTTTTCCCCACCTAGCTTATAGATAGTGTTGCCTCAAAAGGACCATCAGCCACTCCTGCCGGGGAGGGGGATGAGGAAGCTGCTGTCTGTTTACTCTGTGGTTAGCAAAGCAGAAAATGATGTTGTTTCATTCCTCACTACACACAAATTTGGAAGCTGAAAATATATTAAAAAAAAAAAAAAGATTTTTTTTTAGTGAAAATTCCTCACCACCTGACATGGGGTGTGAAGAATGGAAGCCAGACATGGATGTGAGAGAAGAAATACTGCAACAGCTGGCACACTCCACACCTGGAAGTGCCTGTTCAGGTCCTAGTTCATGGTCACTCTGGAGCTATGACAAAAACTCAGCCTGGAATGTTTTCAAGGATCTTGAATGACCAAGTCATGGCTGATCTTGTGAATCTTAAAGATTCTGCCGTGCCTTTGGTGGTCTGCCATGTGTGGTGCAGTCATACAGAAGCTAACTATTGCAGGTAGCCCATGGGGGATCCCTCTTGGCTGAAAGGTGTCACAGAAACCAATAATTAATGCACCCCTTGAGTCAGTGCCTTGAAGCGTGGCATCCTGCAGGAGGATGTAGGACTGCATCTGGGACTCTGGAGTGTAAAAAGTAGCTGGGCTGATACTGAGAGACTGATGATCCTTTTCAGGCAACTTTGAAGTAGGCAGGCAAGATCTGAGAGGTCATTTTATGAATACCCCCAAACTTGTCCAAACATAAAGCATTGCAGCACAGGCTGTTTCTTGCTGTAGACCCTTAAAATACAAACTACACACCAATACATACTACTCTGATGTCATTTTAGAAACCCAGCTAGTAGTGAGAGGGGTGCAGCCTGTGAGATGAGTTTGTGGCTGGCTCTGGTTAATAGGTTGGTGGATGATTAAGCCAGGTAAGCTGCCCTCCATAATTCTGCTTATAACAAGGTCCAACTTTCTTTTGTCTTCACAGTTCCACCAAAGATCTCCAACATCTCCTCAGACATCACCGTGAATGAGGGCAGCAATGTGACCCTGGTTTGCATGGCAAATGGGCGTCCTGAGCCTGTCATCACCTGGAGGCACCTCACTCCTACAGGTAAGAAATCCAGCTGGATTCAATTTGTGAACTGTACTGTAGTTCCCTTCTGTTCCAGCATCAAAGAAAATTTCAGTAGCAATATAGGCAGCCCTAGAAAAGTGGCAAGAATCTTAAGTGTACTTCAAGCTTGTTTTGCAGTGTGAATTCCCAGGCAAAATAACCAGGTTTTCCAAGTGAACAAATTAAATTACTTCAATAGATGCTCTGTAGAATTGGAACCTATAATTCTATTATCTTAGGTTTTCATCTAGTTGTCCCAGTCTCTACTGCTGGTAATGCACAGCACAGTGATGGAGATGAAATGCTGCTGGTGCTAGACCAAGGGAAAAGGATTTCTGTTGAGACACTGTAAAAAAGAGGTTCTTTCTGAAAACCATGGGATTTGCTTCCTACTGATTTGCCTTAAAAGGGAGAGGCAAAGAGTGGCCCAGTTTATTTCATACTGCTCTCCACTTTGGCAGACAGCCAGAAGTCTTGTGTCTTCTGAGTTGAGTAAAGAAGGCAATTGATCTTCAAAGTGAGTGAAGAGCAGAATGGTAACAGAATAAAGGAGATCTCACCGTCTTTGTTCTGCTATCTAACTGTGCTCTCCATGCTCAAGCATGTGGCAAGGTTGGGAGGAGAGTATCTTTTTAGTAGCCAGACTGTGGGGTCAGCAGCTTGGCTTGCAAGGAAAGCTCCAACCCCTAAAGATTTAACAGTAGGATGAGAACAAGAGGTAGGTTTCTATCCCTCTGTATCATGTCCTTGGAGGAGAGAAAAACTCTTTAGCTGACTTCTTTTCCTATCAGATACTCATTAATCTAAAATGCAGGGGGAAAACATTGATTAGCCCCATATGAATGATCTTCTGTGATCTTCACATATATATAAAAGGTTAAAGAGAATTTGAGGAAGGCAGAGAACAAACATTCTGCATGTGCTACAGATAGTCCAGCTTTCTACTGCAGTTCAGCAGCCAGAAAATGGGAGAGTCTTGCAGAAAGTTGGAGAGAGAAAAGTAGAATGACACATTGGAACAGACCTTAATCTAAGGGCTACATCCAGAACCCCCTGGATTTGGAGCCTGTGGTTGAGATTGGGGTTACTTAGATTTCCTGTCTTGTCTCTTCAGTCAAACCAAAGTTCTCCTGAGCTTTCATGTATATGAAAGCTAGATATGCATTCTGAATTTCTGGCCCATTTCTTGCAATGCCAAGAGAAAAAAAAAAAAGATGGGGAAAGCCTGCAGGAAGAGGTGAGAGCAAGGCTGATTAGGGGAACACTAGTCCTCTGTGGTATTATCATCACTACCTGATTTTCTCTTCTGGTTTTTTTTCCAGAATTAAGTATGACCATGCCATTTGTATTCATAGGAGAAGAGAACTTATTTTTTTCATCTTTAATTATGTATATAGAATCTTCTAGCTTTGGTATTTCTGTTCTTAAGGTCTACTTCATATCAAATCTTCCATATTACTGCTGCATCCGTTTTTCAGTTCTCTTTCTTGTATCCAACTAAAAGGTACTCCCTAGCCACTCTCTGAGAACAGACTAACACTGAGTTAAGGGTGTTAAATCTTCATGAAATCTAAGACCTGGAACACATGAGATGCATTCTTCAGAGCAGTTAGAAGATTCTTGTCTTGACTCATCATTTTTACTGTTGCTGCTTTGTGGGAGTTTTTCATTTGTACCACCTACTTCACTGTATCAGACACAGGTTTTTTTTTGTTTGTTTTTGGTTTTTTGTTTGGTTTTTTTTTCCTTTTTACAAAAGTCTCAACAGAACAAATCCTCACTCTGGCTATCCCCACAGTTAGCAACAGAACTGAAGAATCCCATCCCTACTGTGACCATGGGGACAGTTTCCTTGGCTCTGTTGTTCAGTTTTCCAGCATGTCCCTTCACATTTTTCCTCCCATGCTGCGTGTCTCAGAGGTGTTGCCTTGTTAGCATCCCGCAGCACCAGCTCACTGACTCTTTTCCAATCCCTCCTCAGTCCTCCTCCCTATAATACAGCCTGCCAAGCACCTCCTGTGTAACAAACTAGAGGTTATGATGAAGGGCAGGCAGTCCTCAGTCTGTCACCTCCATGTGTTACTGATTGTGGTTCTTTCTTTTTCCCCATCTGAACCCATCTGCTGTCTTTTAGAGATACAGAGGAACTGCTTTCAGGCAGACATCAGGTCTTTGAGCAGCATAAAGCCCAGTAAGACACTTGTCTCAAAATGGGAGACAGAAGGACTTCTTTTAAATGTTTTCCTTGAGGTTGACAATTAATATAAATTCCAAATCCCTTCCAGAGCTGCTGCAGTTGGAAACATGTCTTATCTTGGAATCTCCCTTTTCCAGAACTGCAAGGCATTTTGGCTCCATTTATGCGAGTTTTGAAGACATCTGCTATGCATCAAAGAGCTATTTTAGACCATTGAAAAGGTTTCTAAAATATATCTCTCTCCTTCAATTTTTTTTCATGGTTAAACTTGTGACTGCAGAACTGGAAGAAAGAGTGTTATTGAGCCTGTGTGGGAGGTTTTGAATGGCCAGGTAGTGAAATTAAACCTGTTTCAGGGGGCAAGAGGACCAAATTACTTTTTCTTTGTGTACTCTCCTCAAGGAGTTCATTAGCAACTTTGTCTACTGTTTCTTTCATTCATTGACTTTATCAATAGAGTTTGTTGGCTAATTACCTGGGTTAGGACCACAGAAATGATTTAATTCTTGTTAGCTGTGGAAGATACAAATTCAAGGGAAGATAGTGTTTGTACTTAGGCAGAGAAGGTAGGAATGCATGTAATAGTTCATTTAAATGATGCAATCATAACTTACTCATCTGCCTATCTGGGAAGTTAAAAAATTGATTTATAAACTGCTGTGTTGCTTCCTCTTCTGGTTCTTCAGTGGACAGTTGAACCAGATATTTTTCTCACTTCAACTATAAGTCCTGATGCCCTCAAGCAGCCCACAGGAAAAAAACCTCTCCTAACCCTGTGAGAAAGCTAAAGTGTGACTGAGGTTGATGACTGTAACACTGACACCTAGGAGGAAGGCAGGTAAGGGGAAAAATACTTTAATAATTCAATGGCAAATGACAATACAGATCAGCTTTAATTTGATGAAAGTAGGAATGATATTCTTTGGAATGATGCAAGTCCTTGCTCTCCTCTTACATTCCTCTTCAGATGATTGGCAGATTGTATTTTGACAGAGCAGGTAGAGTCACCCAGACCCTTTTCTTTTTCACCTGACAGGCTATTGTTCTGTAGGACATTGGCAACCTGGTCAGAGTAGCTGTGGATAATTTAACATGCACTGTCTGAGAGCACAAACAGCTTCATTAGCTCTCTCCTCCAGCCAGCAGAGCTCTTTCCTGGGATCACTGACCTGCACCTCCCAGCAGCAGGCCAGCACATCCCTCTCTGAACACAGTCTGATCCCATTCCTGTGATTCAAGCTGCAGGCTTGTTAAGCCTGCCATACCTGATGACTTTTGCCACCCTGGTTTGTGATGGTAAGCCATAGAAAAGACTGTAAAACTGAAGGTCTGAACTGGATTTGTCAGGAAACTATGATGTGCTCAGTTAGAGTGGGGGTGAGTATTGATGATGCCCTATGCAGCTTGCATGAATTAGCAGTTGTTAGCGTTAGGAATACTTCACTAGGGAACACTCCACAGTCTCATCTCTTGAAGGGGACAAAACCCAGATTCTTTGTACCAAGAATGGCTGGTACCCTGTTGTTTTACTCTCCTTAATATTAGCTCATAACCTGCCTAATCCATGCCCCACAAAGGCATAGATTATTTTTTGTCACTGAATGCAATAACCTCAAATATCCTGTAGCTGCACCATATCCTGCATGAGGTCCCAAAACAGAACCATTTATCATTTATCACACTTACATGGTCTGTGAGGGATACCACAGGCAGCCTACCCTTCTGGGGGTAGTTATGTTAGAAGGAGCTCTTTTCCCCCTGTACCTTGCACCAGGATAACAACCAACACAGTCAAGAAAATACTGCAGTAAAAGGTCAGGGATGGTAGTCATGCCTGCTTTCAAGCCCATCTTAGTTTTACTCAATGTCTCTACTGACTTATGTTTATTCAGGCTAATGTGTCTTTTCCCTACCTGTAAGCTGCTGAGATCACAGTCCAGAGTATAATTTATCATTTCTCATCTCTGTGTCTTATTCAGAGCCAAGCTAGGTGCCTGATTGACTGAAAAAGGGCTTTCTGGGAAGAAGAAAAATTAATGTACATTCATATCCTTACCAATAAATTCTCAACGGAAGCCCTAAAGAGTGGCCTCTTGTGAATCAGTTTGCAGCAATATGAACATGAACAGTTGTTACAAGGTCTTTGGACTACAAAAGATCTCACTGCCAATCTTTTTGGTGTGCATGGGCAGGCAAATGGAGAAGAAAAAGCCATCTCCTGTGCTGAGAAGCTTGTACTTGAGCTCACAAGAGCAGTACCATTGGTGTTTCTGCTTCTTTGCCACAAAGCATCAGTGATAGAAACTTTTCCAAGGGCCTTGTTCATGGGTGCTCTGGCAAATGCCTTTAGTACCCATGCTGATGGTAGCCTGAGAGCTGGTGACAGGGAGACAAAGCTAAATTGGCTAAAGTTGAGGGATTGAATTACCAGCTGAGGAAGAAGCAATTCTGTTTTCCTAGAGAAGCTACAGAGTATGAAACTTGTATAAAGCCACTAGGTATCCTATTCTGGATCTAACTTCCTTGGCTTCAACCCAGCAAGGCCACTTGATGGAGAAGAAAACACTCTGGATTCTTCCAAATTCCACCTGACAGTCTAAAGAAACCCACTTTGTCTCAGAAAAAGAGCTTAGTTGTTACAGTGGTAATCACAGCATAAGAAGAACCAGTCTAGTGCAAAGCAGATAAGTATTGATTGCAACACCCAAGTTTCATGTCACAGCATAAAATGAAAGGAGATGAGAAGGCTTGTCAAATATGCCAGTCTGATTCTCCCTAGAGGGTGCTAGAAATTCTTATT